CTGGAGTGATTCCGAAACAGATTAGGTCACTTCGATCTCTTCGCCTGCTTAATTTGTCTGATAACTCGTTTTCTGGCTCGATTCCGAGTAAATTGATAGGTTCAACGAAATTAGAAGCAATTGATTTATCGTACAATCAGTTATCTGGTAGTATTCAAGTTGTTGGTAATAGGTGTGGTGTTTTGAATCATTTGAGGCTTTCGCATAACTTTCTGACCGATAACATTCCGGCGGAGATTGGACAATGTCGGAAACTCAGGACTCTGTTGCTCGATGGCAATATATTAGAGGGACAAATTCCGGCTGAGATCGGCCAAATATCAGAACTCAGAATTCTTGATATATCTAGGAATAGCCTCACCGATTTGATTCCAAAAGAGCTCGGTAATTGCCGGAAGTTGTCACAGATCGTGTTGACGAATTTGAACGACATCAGTCCCGACTACGATAGTTTAAGCGGCGAATTCAACGCTTTCAATGGAGGAATTCCTTCCGAGTTGTTATTGCTTCCCAGTCTACAAGTTTTTTGGGCGCCGAGAGGTAATTTTAATGGAAAATTGCCGAATAATTGGAGTTCTTCATGCTCGCTTAGGGTTCTAAATTTAGGGCAAAATTACATCACTGGAACCATACCCGAATCGATTGGGAACTGTGCGAATCTTACCTACCTGGATTTATCATCAAACAAGCTACAAGGTAACCTCCCTGTGCAGCTTCGCGTTTCCTGTATGGCGTACTTTAATGTAAGCCAGAACAAAATTTCTGGTGTTCTTCCCAGATTTGAGAAAGATAGTTTCTGTATGAACATGATTCCGCATGAACCAGCTTCCAAATTCTTAGATGATGAAGATAATTGGAATTCTTACATCAATTCTCCTGTCTGGGATTTCCCGAGATTAAATGATAATCTCATAATCGCCCATGATTTTAGCTGGAATAGGTTCAGTGGATCATTAACTTCGTTCAAAGTGGGAGAAGTGCTTTTGGCTAATGGTCACAAGTTCTCATACAAACTGTTGCTTAATAGCAACCAGTTCAATGGATCACTTCCCATCGATCTTGTCTCGAACTGTAACGATCTGACGAGCGTTTCGGTTAACTTGAGTTCAAACTTAGTATCAGGTGAGATTTCTGATGCATTTTTCCTCCATTGTCGACAGATGATCGAGTTTGAAGCTGCAAGCAATGCATTAAATAACTCGATTGGACCCGGAATTGATAACTTGCAGAGGCTTGTTCATCTCGACTTGAGAGAGAATAGATTATCTGGAGTTTTACCTGATCAGTTGGGGAACTTGCAGAGTTTGAAATGGATGCTTTTGGGTGGAAATAATTTGTCTGGAGAGATTCCATCTCGACTTGGTCGATCGACTTCTCTAGTGAGTTTAGATCTTTCTCGAAATGAATTTACAGGAGTTATCCCTGAAAGCTTATCTTATGCTTCTAGACTTGAGATTCTGTTGCTTGATCATAACTGGTTATCTGGGGAAATACCAGCATCTTTCTCTGCTCTTTCTCATCTCACTAAATTGGATGTCTCTTTTAACAACCTTTCTGGCCACATTCCTCATCTTCAGCACATGATTGACTGCATTTACTTTGATGGGAATAAGTTTCTGCATCCATGCCCAGAGTCGTACTCCGACTCCCCAGCTGGACTTCCAGTTCCTCTCAACGTCGAGAAGTGGAAGAGACAAAGAAAGTTCATGTCCATGGTAATCGCTGTGGCAGCCTCCTCAACTCTAATTTGCTTACTCTTAATGATTGCTGTTATTATCATTGTTAAGAAAAGGCTTGATAGACAAAATAGGTTAAAGAAAAGACAAGTAGTGACTTTCTCTGATGCTCCGTCCGATCTGAATTATGATAATGTTGTCCGAGCGACCGAGAATTTCAGCCTTCGCTACCTAATCGGTACTGGTGGCTTTGGGTCGACATACAAGGCTGAACTGCCCTCAGGTTTCCTGGTTGCTGTTAAGAGACTGTCCATTGGTAGGTTTCAAGGAGGCATCCAACAATTCGACGCGGAGATTCGAACACTGGGAAGAATACGACACAAAAACCTTGTAACTCTTCTCGGATATTACGTCGGAGAGGCTGAAATGTTCTTAGTTTATAACTATCTTTCTGGTGGGAACCTTGAGACCTTCATTCATGAAAAATCGTGCAAACACGTAAAGCACTCAGTAATCCATAAGATTGCTTTGGACATAGCCAGGGCTCTTGCATACCTTCATTACTCCTGTGATCCCAGGATTGTTCATAGAGACATCAAGCCTAGTAACATCCTGCTTGATGAAGACCACAACACCTTCATATCAGATTTTGGGTTAGCCAGGCTTCTTGAGGTTTCAGAGACTCATGCCACAACAGATGTGGCCGGAACATTTGGATATGTTGCACCAGAATACGCCACCACTTGCAGGGTCTCGGATAAGGCTGATGTTTATAGCTTTGGAGTTGTGCTGCTAGAGTTGCTTTCTGGAAAAAGGTCGCTCGATCGATCCTTTTCCGACTTTGGGAATGGATTTAACATTGTTACATGGGCAAAGATGCTGATCAAGGAAGGTCGTTCTTCTGAGCTTTTCACTCCTGAACTTCGGGAAATGGGACCTGAGGAACACTTGCTTGGAATGTTAACACTCGCGTCTAATTGCACAGTTGAAATTCTCGCTCTTCGACCGTCAATGAAGCAGGTCGTCGAGACACTGAAACAGTTGTAAATTTCTTAGGATCACTGACTCACTCTTCAACTGGTTGCTGACTGAAAATGACAGAGGATGCCATCCCTACATTACAACCAATCGTACATATTGAGATGAATTCTTTCACCCAGGTTCATTTTCTAAGCCTTCTAGCTTAAATGAAAAGTTCTGTCTCCGATGTTTGATAGTTACATCCTAGACTATAGAGATACTAACCTTGACTGCTTTCTAGCATTCGTCACGAGAAAACTGCAACCATAGCATTTATAATTACACTCTCGAACTTTTTAATTAGAATGAATTTAGTTGTAACAATTTCAATCTCATAGATCAAACTAGGTTAAGATTTCACTATAGTAGACTGTTATAGTAGACTGTTGTAATAGCGAAGGGGAGTGAATTGTGAGATCTCACATCGTTAGGAGAGGGGAACAAAGCATCCCTTTTAAGGGTATAAAAACTTCTCCCTACCAAACATGGAGAGAAGTCTGGAAACCTCTCTAAAGAGGACAACATCTATTAGCAGTGGACTTGTACGGTTAGAGTTACTCACGGAAGTTTATAATTGTAAGGATTATTTGTAATGATTTGGAAGGGGAAAGTTAGAAGTTGAAAGTTATGGAGGTACAATTATGAGTCTCTTTTGCTTGTTATGATTTTTTTTTTTTTTTTTTTCCCTTCACTTTTCGCTTATTTTTCTTACAAAGAAACAAGTTGTGTGTCATCAAGGAAAAGGGTCCACAAATCTGCAACAATCAATTAGCTTTTCACTGTTATTGGCTCTGTACAGTAAAGTTTTACTAAATTTGGAGTATCTGTTGAGATGATTCTTTTTCTGAAAAACAGTCAAAGTGCATCATGTGATATTTGGCCATTTTCTTTGAGTGAATGATGGCTAAATTGATAGATATATTTCTCTTTATTTATTTTAATGACTTTAATTTTCAAAAGTTTTAATTGTATCCTTAATTTTTTTTTTATTTTTTTAAGTTATATAATATCCTTAAATTTTAAAAATACTTTTATGATTAGCTTTGGAAGGAAAGTATTAAAAATATCGATTCAACTTTTGAAAATGTTTAATATCTCGTTTAAAAAATAATTATCTTTTTGAAAAGTTTTAAAATTCTTATATTATTGATGATCTCTGTGAACAATATACTAAGATCACTTTTCACAAGTGGCTTATTTATGTAGTGGTCGACATTCATTCCTACGTGCTCCTCCTTGCTCACCGACTTCAGAATCGAAAAGTGCCCTTTGGATGTTGTCGTGACGCTTTGGTTACGAAGGTTGGCGGGGTCTAGGTTTATGGATGGATTCAGTCAACGAAAGTCCAACTCAATCAATATCAACAAGATGTCGTGACCGGTTAGGCTTGGTTGATTTTGTCAGAAAAGAAAGTAGGTTTCGTGGGTTCATTGATTAGTAAACCTCCGGTGCTGGTAAGGTCGGGACCGTGGTCGTCTGTCTCTGGTTTGCCGGCCGATAAGATCTTTGAGATTGACCAAAAATTCCATACGAGTCATTCTGTCAGTTGCAGCTAACGGATCTTGGTCACTGCATCAGCTTGATGTAAAAAAGGCCTTTCTTCATGGAGACCTACACGAGTTTCTATTCGTCTTCCACCAGGGTTTTGAGCTCAGGGGGAGGAAGGGAAAGTTTGAAGGTGAAAAAAGGCGAGGGTCTCATATATCTCCTCGGCTCCTCGGATTTGGTTCGAGATATTCAGGTTTAAAACAAAAATTCAAAGTATAAATAGTTTTATTCAAAACAAACTAAATAGTTTTCATTCAAAAGTATTATTAAAACTTTTGACATTGAACTCAAAATTGAAACTTAAAAAAATATTCCATCTCATTGATTTTCAATCGTCAGTGTTTACAGCACATCGAGTACTAATTGTAGCCTAGTACATTTATCAACTTGATGTGCAAAAGGGAAATATCATCCTCACTACCATCTCGACCAGTTTAAAATATAAATGATTCTCAATCTATATGCTACATAGTTCAACCATAATTTTTTCAAATTGTCAAAGATTTAAATTCCAAACATATCTTTTACCAAATATTGTCGATACCTACTTCCAACAAATAAGTCTTCACGAGAGAAGAAAAAAACCATAGACAAACACAATATAAACGTCCCTCAAATGTTGATTTCTCTGCCTTTTTGACACATTTTTTTTCAGTAAAATGCCATGATCGGTTTCCGATACATATTACCGACCTCTAACTATAGAACGTAAATTTGAATTCTCTCCTCCCATTTGTAAATGATCTGCAAACTTTATTCAGGGAAGAAAAGACTAAGATAGATAGAACTCAGTAGAGCTGCAATTATTACCACCACCTCACGAGACTGTCTTCAGGAAACTAATCAACAACTTAACAATAAATAAAAGGAAACAATCAGGGGAATCATGGCCTCAGATGGCTGTGTAGCCTCCAAAATTATTGAAATTATCTTCTAAGCAACAGAACAGAGAGGAGAGCTAAAAATAAAGAACAAGCTACAAAAATGTACCTGTACTCTGGATCCTTTTCATCACTTCAAATTTCTTCTTCTTCATCATCTTCTTCTTCTTCTTCTTCTTTTCTTCCAGCTGCTCATCTAATATCTAAAGATTATATACATGGCGCTGTGTTTCTTCTCTTCTTGTGTATGAATTGGGTATATGTATAACAAGCCTACCATCTTTCATTGCACAAAACCAGCTCTCTTTGAAACATCCACACTGTTTCTTTTTCTTCGTTCTTTTCCAATAGCTTATGCCATTGCTGCATCTTCTAGTCCGGACGCCAAAACCAAAACCAACTGGCCACATACGTCTCTTCACTGATTCCATGATCTCAAGTATGGTTTCTCCATTGGATCAGTCAAGTTGGAATTTTGATGCCTCGTGCCTACCCAGCTCATACTCTGAGATGGTATTTCATGCCCTCCCAAGTAGCTGAGTGGGTTGGATGCTTCTGGTAGAACGTTTCCGATCATGGGATTTCCTTCTCGCAACATTCCATAGTTCCTCGGGGAAATCAATTGCCCGTTCGAGCTCATTGGGTGAAAAGGGGAACGAAATTGATTACTTTGAGATAGAACACTGAATAAGGTTTGATCTGTGCTGCTGCTTCCAGTTCCAATGCTCTGATTTGGGACTATAACGCCATCTGGCCCTGTAAACCCATCATGGACTTGATGATTGCCCGGAAACCAGTTCTCGCCTAATAAACTTCCACCATTTATGGGATGAAAATGGATATGAGAAGGCATGCGAACCGAGTTAACAGCCCAGCCCTGCATTCCAACTGAGGGTAACTGTTGCTGAGTTGCAGGATTCGGATACCTGTTTCCATCAGGATAAATATTCCCTGGAACACCATGTTGAATGTAGACTTGCCCATCTTCCTTCCGCCTTTGCTGCAAAGGCACCGATAACTCTGACTGCTCCTGGAAATGTCTAGAATACTGACTCTCTTCAATCAAGTCATTGTTTAATGGCTGGAAATCTAAACCTGAGTGCCTTTCCTTGTGATGGAAGGACAGACCTCCCTGCCTAGTAAACACAGAATGAAGTAACTCATCTTTTCCTTGATTTTCATAAGAACTAAAAGTGCCATCATCTGATTGTCTATGTAACAAACTTTTTCCAATATCTCGGCTATGCAAATCAGGTTCCACAAAAGTGCCATTATCTGATTGTCTAGGCAACACATTTTTCCCGATAACCCTGTCATGGAAGCCATGTTTCACATAAGTGCCATCGTCTGATTGTCTAGGCAATAAACATTTAGCAACACCTCTGGCAGCCATGTCAGGTTCAACATTGAAAACTTTTGTTTTTTGCTCGTCATAAGCATGAGAATTTGAAAGAGACAAATTACTACTGGACGTAGCATAACCATGGCTGGTAGAAGAGCTGTAGTAATTCTTTGGCATAACTTGTCGTGTGCAAACATCACCAACAGAAAGTAGGACCTCTCCCTGGCTGGCTGAGAATTCTGTAGCATTCAGATTTCTTGATAATCCAGATTCTTCGAGAATAGTATTACCAGAATTTAGGGTGTCATGATCTTCGGGATCCAAACTGTTGTCAATCTCCAACCCACCATTGATCTGCTCTGAGGATTGACTACTTTGGGAGCCAGCGATTGATTTTTCAATAGATTCATTTCCTGTTCCTTCCACATCCATTTGATCTGTTTCTTCAGTATCAATTTGACCTCGAAGCATGCTATTATGGCTTTCGATGTCCACATCCTAAACCCTCAATTACAGGTAAAAACGTTAAAAGACAATGTTACAGAAGGAACCCAAAATAATAAAGGTAAATTAAGAACTATATTGCATACAACGATGCCCCAACAGTTCAATAAGGAGAGAAAAACAATTGAGAGAGAATAGAAAAACAGAAGTGGAATTGTTAAGCACCATTATCAATGTTTGTCTGTCTTTCAGATCTTGCTCCAACGCCTTGGTCAGTTCCCGTCTCTGTAAATGAATCTTTCTCCAATTTGAATATGCAACGGGGAGATGAACTTTTGATAATTGCAGCCTATGCCAATAAAGAAACTATATGATATGAGGGGAATGAATGAGTCTTTCTATTTGGTAAAAATACATATGTTACTTCACATACTCTCACCAGTGCTCATGCAACTTTTGCTGTTCTTCCTCTACAAATACTTGATATGGTTGTACATTAAAAGCTTGTATGTCACCTAAAACTTGGTCCAGAGATCCGGATTGCTTCATATTCTTCACCAGGTCATGCTGCTTCTTACTAATCTGAAGCGTGTGAACAAGAAATCAACGACAAAACCCTCCTAAGTACCAAAACTTGCCTCTCTTTTCAAGACGGAAAAAACAGAATCATAAAGAAAAAGAAACCAAATTTCCATGAGGTATTCAACCATTGGTTTTCAATCATAAACATAAAAGAAATGTGATATAACTTGCTTTCTCAAAGCAGGGATTATATGGAATGAAGATACCCAGATAGTAATCCTAATGACAAGATCAGTGAGGCCGTGGCAGGAGTGTCGAGTATCCACGTCAAGAAAGAAGCGAAGTAAAAGAAAATGTAACCATATAGTTTATATTTGTTTAGCAAACATACAATGAACAAATCTCAGAACGAAACTATTTTTCCATGACCAATTCTACAAACTTTCTTTTACTTGAAATTGTTAAAAGAAACCAAATCAAATATACTTCATTAATAGATGTGTATGTATATTTATAAATATCTTTCCATATCTCAACTGTCATCTTTCTTTTCATTTTCATCATACATCCCTACCCAAGTCATATATATGAAGCCAATTCCCAATTCATTGCAATCTGAACTGTTCTGCCAAAACCACTGGGCTAACAAGAGTGGTTCAACTTGCAAGTTCGAGAGGTAAATCTGTAAGATTACCCTGCGGACTAGCATAAAATCATTTTCTCAAGCCATTTCCCAGATTTAGTGTGGCTCCCCTAATCACTAGAGTTCTGCATTTGGCTATTTGCATTCCAACAGTCATTTTAGCGAGCCAATTGGCAGATTAACGTGCGGACCATCCATCAACATTGAGAAGCAAAAGGACAATCTTTGAAAAAGTGACTTGCGTCTTTTAAAGAGATTAGTTGAAGAAAACGATGGGGCTTTCTTTGCTGGATCTTATCATTTGTATCACAGCCTTTGAGACCAAAGGAACGCTTTACTTGGGAAAATGCAAGTAAAAAAATAGTTCAAAGAACTAAAGTTAAACCCCACTAACCACACTTCACAAGAGGAATATTTCAAACCCACAACCAACCACAAATATTTCCCATCTTATTTGTTCAAATGGAACTTTTTGTTGGTATTATGAAAAGTTACAAATAAAGGTACAGTGCACTTCTGTTGAGAGAATATAAAATAACACCAAACCACCAAAAAAATAAAAAATAAAAAGCTTCAATACACAAATCAAACCACGAACTAAATACATAACCACAAAATGTGGCATCCAGGACAACCCTAGGTGAGGTAGAGTGATCCAAAGAAAACCTTAATTATTCTACCCTGAAAAGAACTTTTCCTTCAATTATCCAAGAAAATTTTCTTATTGACCTAGGAGATCCAAAGAAACCATTACCAAAACTTTCCATCCTATTCATTTTTTCAAACAAGTTCGATATTTTAACTCTCAAATTTTATTGTTTTTCTCCTATACTTCTAATGTCTATTTTGTAGAAAGTATAAATATCTGTTTGAACACTTACATTGTTAAACAGATGCCTGAAATTTATCTAAATGTTTAACAAGTATTTGGCAGCAACTATTTTGATTAATAGGGGGCTGATACATATCTAACAAGTGCCAACGTGTACGAGGGTTTGATATGTGTTAAACATGAAAATATCACCCAAATTAAAGCAAGTGTGTATGCTTTAGAGCAAGTACTATTATGTCATATGTACGACATTTGCTTCAAGGTTATATACATAATCAAATTCATAAAACATCACCTAACCTTGAAATACGACATATATTTGGAGCCATCACTACACTGGATGTTGCGCTTTTGTAGCTTTTCCTCAATTCTAGTACCAACATTAAGCTTGTCATATAAAGCAGTGGATGAAGTTCTGAATCTTTCTCGCTTGCATCCTTTATTGCAAATCCTGTTAATCATAAAAACTGTATATAGTCAACAGAACAAAACCCTGATAGAGTATATAGAAACCGCCTCTCAAAGGAAAACATGATGTCATTGATATGCACCGATACTACCTATTCATAACTTGTAGCAAAAAAACCATGGTAATGCCTTACAGAAACTATCTCTAACTAAAAGGAACGGTGGATAGATCAGACAAGTGTCCACATATCTCATAAAAAATATGGATGCTAATTATAAGAAGAACATGCATATTCCCAAACGTAAAAGTTACCTTTCTGAAAATACTCTACCCTTCATAAATGAATTCTGGTTATCACTACTACATGCTTTCTCCTCTGCAGCCCACGAATCAGACTCTGATGTAGCTATAGTATTGTCCTCGTGATAGTCAAATCTGGACTCGTTCACTCTGGTGGAGACTCTATTTTCTGAACTTCTTGACCTGTTTAAAGTACATTGTGCATTCTGAATTTATTTCATTTCTTCTCGATCAAATTGGCAAAATTGGCACTTGGCAGGGTTTAAATTAAAATATTTGCTAATTAACTTATTCCCGTTCCAAGATTAATTATTGAATGCCAACCTTGACTTCTTCCGGTTCCAAGTGAGGAAAACTTGTACAGAAAAGTAACAAGGATAAATCAACAATATATTTATAAGATTAGTCAATTACAAACACTAACCACTAAAATGTCATTCAATTTGAAATTTAACTGGAAAAAATAGAAAGAACAATTTTTAAGCAATTTTATATGCCAGTGGCCAGCTATAAATTTCCTTCATTACAGTAATAAGGAAATTGACCAAGCTTATGTTCAAAGTCTATTGGGAGCAGAAGGTCAAGAATTATGTGCTTGAAAGAAAGAAAAAGAAAAGGTATTATCAACCTCCATGTTTGATGTCTGATTTCCTTCTCTGGATCTTTGCAGTTCGCACATCTATCCTTCAGTTTCTGCAGATATCCAATCATACTGCCACAAGAAGGAACTAATATTAGCAACAACATGCTTCAGTTAAAGTAAATACCATTGACAGACGCAGGCTACAGAAAATTGTGATTTTACAAGAAGTTAAGGATACATTGTTGAAATCAACAAGTTATAAATGGAAATTTTACAGATTGAGCCGTTCTTACTTATTATGATACTTCTGTAACTCACGGGAATATGCTTTTTTATCTGCCCTTAAGCACTGTTCATGCTGAAGAACTGCATCCGGGTGAAGGGCACCAGAGCAAAGTGAAGACTCCCTGTAGGTACATATTTGGAAAATTCAACAGTTACTTCGTAGCCAATAGCCATCAACACTTTCAAAGTTTATCATTGCCACAAAGTCTGACGGAAAAATAAAGTAATATGAATCACAAAGTAATGATAGAGAATATAAGAAACAAAATTCCGAACTTCAATAAGCAGAATCAGAAACAAATTAAATTAAAAGAACCTATGATTTGATGCACTTCTTTACCAGCCCAAGCATGACTCATGAGTCACCCTGATTCGTGCCATGGTCTACACAACTGTGTTTTTTTTTTCTCTCCTCTCTCTTTTTGATTAGAAACAAATGTCAATAGGAAGTAATATTCATAATTTGGAAACTGTATTAAATATAAAATTTTTAATTATTCCATCCTAACTATCAATTTAGATTGGAGGGCAATTATGAAACCCTCCTTTCGGAAACAGGACGACTTGTCACTTTGCCAATTACGTTGTCTCAGCCCAGTTGATGCTTCTTTTTTTCAAATGAAAGTGTTGGCTTGTTTCTAATAAAAAATTTAAAATAAATAATAAAAAGAGGGAAAATACTTGCCATTTAACAAGGGGATTTCCAAAGTGAAAATTATTCCCAGAAAACAACTCTCCCACCAAGTCTGTCTCATTTTCTTGTTCTCCAGGAAGAAACTTTTTCAGATTGTTCCTCTCATTTTCTGAAAGATAAGCATGCCAAACCTGCAATAAATTCAAGGCCAAATGAATAGAAAGAAATACAGAAAGGAAAGTGATAACTTCGATACACATAACAAGGGCTAACGACAAAAATATTGCTACCTCAAGTGAAAGAACTTCTGATAAATCTTCCAACTCAAAAATCTCACGAGGGACATCGAAAACGTCAGCCAGGATAGTTTGTTCTTTGGGAACTGAATCAACAAATGGTTTTAATTTTCTCCAACTTATGCCAATTTGTTCCCTTTTAGAAACAACTCTTTTTTTACTCCCATCCCATGCCAGAGTAATATGGGGTCTTAAATTTGCATCACTGCGTGGCAGTGCCAAATTCTTTTTTCTCACTCTATATGGTTCTCTTGAACTGTGACCAACTACACTGGCAGAACTCAATCTTTTTCTACGTTGATTGGCCGCCATCAATCAAGCATCAGAAAGCGTTCCAGTAACACACCATACTACCACATAGGTAGCGCAGCAACAAGTTTTATGTGAGGCCTGAGAAACAAAAAAAAAAAAAAAAAAAAAGAATTAATGAACCTTTCAGCATTTAAAATCATCAAGCCCCAACGCCAGCACCAACAACTAATTTCAGGGTTGGGATTTCAAAATCATTCCGAGAATTATACTACTCTATAATAACGAATAAGTTAAGTATACTTGCATAACATCCGAGGCCATAGAGAGAACAAATCACAGCCATAAACAATCATAAGTCGAGAAACAGAAATTCAAATTTAAAACATGTTTTAAAATGCAGAATTCTGCTAAAACGAAACATCCCATTTTCAGGTAGATAATTATCCCCTTAAATTTCCAATTTCATATCATGGATTAAAAATGACTAGAATACCCAATTTTCTGTACCAAAAAAAAAAAAAAAAAAAAATTGACAGATCGCTTTGTTCTCATCAAGGGTCATGTCAATCGAAATGGTTATATTGCACACAAAGTATTGCATAAATAACCAGTACAGTAAAACTCGAACAAACATAGAGAGAAATATTAAAATTAAACCAAAGTCTCACAATGAATTTAAGAACGCCAAGAAGAGAGGGAGAGAAAAGCAATTCGACATGCATTTTTGAGTAACCCCAGTGTGAGTAATGACTAGAGTTAATTCAGTGGCGAACAGTTGCAATGATTCTACAGAAAAAAATTGACTGAGCATACAACTTGTAAGTTCCACACAAGGGAGCTAGGGGGCCTTCATCCTCCACATTACAGAACCATCCATACACCCAGTAACAACGATACTTAACCACCACCGACCAAACCCATCAAACAATAACCTAGCAAATTACAAACCAAAAGTCCCCTTCCTCTTCATCATTCAAAAAACAACCACAAAACCTCAGCACACAACCAAAAACAAATTCCACACCATTAGAGGAATACAAAGGTAGCCATAAGAGCCACAGCAATGCAATTAAACCCAAAACAAGAAAAATAAACACCTCCAACAATTAAAACAAAAAAGAAAACCATAATCGAATCAACATAAAGAAACAGATTACTAAGAGAATACCTACAATAGTCCGAAACGAAGTTTCTATCGCTGCAAAAACATCGAAGAGTGCAAGAAGTCGCAGTGAAGAATCGATGAGAATTTCGCAACAAAACAAAAGAAAGATGAAATCGATGAAAACTGAAGCTAAAGCGAGAGCGGAAGCGAGTGATAGATAGGGTTTGGCGTTTATCCGAAATATTGTGGAGGCTGAAGTTCAAGAGATAGAGAGAGAGGCACTGAAACAGAGACCCAAATGCCCATTCAGAGAAGAGAGAGAAAGAAGAGAGAGAGAAAGAGAGGCAAAAGATCATACGTTGTTCGGAACCGTTAAACTCGTGTGCATTTCACATTCGCGGGCTCTACGCTCGGCTTGGCTCGTTCTTTTTTTTTTATTATTATTATTTTATAAATTTAAATTCAACCCTATAAAATAAATTTAATAATACATATTTTATATTTTATGTCCCGAATTAGCTTAATCTCATTTTTAATTTTCATTTATTATATACTCGTAAATTTGACATCATACAAATTTTTAGTCAACTCAAGCATAGTTCAATAGATAAATTACATTCGTTATCATTTCATATATCGATGACAATTTTAATTTCTTAACTAAAAAATTTATTATATTATAAAAATCAGACGAAATGTAATAAAAAATATACACTTAATAATAAATTCGAACATTATTTAAAAATTTTAATAGATCATGATTTTCTGGACATCGATGAAAGTAAATACTTACTCGACGTATGATAGAAATCTTATTATAGATAAATTCGGTAAAATCAATTAGTTTTTTAAAATTTTGAATTTTTTTTTGTCCCTTTTTTAGTGTGAACGAGAAACCATTTAAACCTTTGATTTCAAAGAGATAAGTAAATATCTCGACGAGTTCGTATGGTCTGGTCGAATACTATTAATATGCCTATTTGAGATTCCTTTAAAAATATATTACATTATATATTCGATGTCACTGGTCTCTAAATCTAGCGGAGTTATTCTAATTATTATAATATATTTCACATTATCATTCCTAAAAAAAAAAATTAAAATTACAAAGTTTAGTGTATATATATATATATATATCCCTAAATTTAATAATAAAAAAAAAGACCCAAAGTTTATAATTTTTAAAAAATTTCTAATAGGTATTTGACATTTTTTTAAATTTATGAAATTTATAAGAGATTTATTTAACTTTTTTAAAAAATCTAAATATCGATTAAATATTGAAAGTGGATAGGGACATATTAGTCAAAAACATAAAATTGTTGGACGAAATGGTAATTTAAGGAAAAAAAAAAGAGAGAGAGAGAGAGGAGGAAGTCGGCTCAAGAACAAGTGAGCCAATTTGTGGAAAGGTTAACGGCAACCACAAGATGCGGCAGTGACGTTCACAAGCAAAGCTTTTATCCTTTTCTTCTTGCTTGTGGCTGTGGCTCTCTCTTCTTCTTCATCAAACTCACTCCCCCTCCTTTCTCTGGTCGACGTTAATGGCGGTTAAGTTTTTACCATCTCATCTCTATCCTCTTTCTTCCCCATCTCTCCCTCCCAGTTCCTTCTCCGCCGGAGACCTAACTCCACGGCCATGCTTTGGCGGACCTCGCACTCATTTCAGGCCGCAGAGATCAATAGCGGTCAGAGTCAATGTGGAGCCGCTCGTCGCTTTTCAAGACCAACACAACTCCACCTTCCTCCTGGCTGAGAGTGTCGGCTATTCCACGGCCAGTTACTACACTTCTCTCGGCCTTTTCGTCATCTCCGTTCCTGGCCTGTGGTCTCTCATCAAGCGATCGGTCAAATCCAAGGTTATTTATAAATTCACCTCCGGTGCAATTCGAATTACATCGTTCTGTTATTTCTCTGTTTATGTTGTGTATTGATTGAATCGCGTCGATTAGGTTGTGAAGAAGACATTCGTTAGTGAAGGAGAATCGAAGAAGGCGCCGAATCAGTTTGCTGGAGAGATTCTGTCGTTCTTCACTCGCAATAATTTCGAAGTCACTGATAGAGGCGAAACCATTACGTAATGCGATTTTCTTTTGGAATTTGTTACAATTTTGTGATTCATTTTTTTCTGAGTGTTAAGTTCAATTGCATTGAATTAACTTCTGGATGTTCGATTGATGTTTAATTGTGAAGGTTTGAAGGAACTATGGTGCCGAGTCGAGGCCAAGCGGCGTTGTTGACATTTTGTACGTGCATTAGCTTGGCCAGCGTTGGTCTTGTTCTGACCATAACATTTCCAGATATTGGCAACAATTGGTTCTGGCTTAGCAGCTTGAGTCCCTTAGCGTAAGTGCCACTGAACTTCTCTCCTATATCTTCAAACTTTCTTGGTGGTTGAAGTTTCACGACTGGGATTTGACTCATGGCATGCATGCTTGTTTGATAGTCATTTTGAAATTACTAGATTCTTGATCATTCAAAACCAATGTTTCAAGAAGTTTGAATGATTAATGACATATTTGAGATCGATTTTATGAAAGCTATTTTAATCCTTTCAAACACGTTTGCCTTTAAATCATGAGCTCCTTCATTACCCAATCCAAAATTTGAATATTCAAAATTTTCAAAATTCTTATGTAACGAATAAATAACCTATATTCATTGAGATTTTCTTAGATCTTTGGTTTTAATTTAGTCTTCATACCTTTCGAAAAGAAAGAAATTATGCTTTGTCATTGAAGTTTGGATCAAAGATTTTCTGAGATATTTGATTTTAGTTTAGGCTTCATACCTTCCGAAAATCATATGATCTTTTAAGCTTCAAAATTTTGTTGTTTCTTCTCAATTTACCAATTATGGTTTTCATCTCCTACATCAATCCAAAAGCAAAATTTTTAAAATATGACTTAGTAAATTGCTACTACCCTATATTTCATTGATCAAAGTGTTAGATGCATTATATAATTGAACTCAATAATATGTGAGTAGAAATTTTGAGTCTCTATCATATAGATGTATAAATTCACGAAAGTTTCTGACAAATTGTATGAACTACAATTTAATTTTAATTAACCTTTTATTACAAAGTCCTAATAATATCATAAACAGGTCTCTCAAATTCAAATTCAAATTCAAATTCTATCTATGATTATAAGATTGAGATATATGAGAGAAGCTTAGAAGCTAATGTGAGGCTGTTTGAAAACTGCAGAGGAGCATATTACTGGGTGAAAGCATCAAGAAAGGAGGAGATCAAAGTTAAAATGATAGTTGCAGAAGATGGAAGCCTGGGAGAGATTATTGTTCAAGGAGATGACCAGCAGGTAGAGCAAATGAGAAAGGAGCTTCAATTGAGTGAAAAGGGCATGGTCTATGTCAAAGGTATTTTTGAGCAATGATTATTATCAGTTCATCATCTTTTTTTTTCTTTACCATAGTTGTAGGAATCTTCATGAGTTACATTCAATCAGTCCAGATTCTGGAAAAGAATTGAAACTTGTACAACAATTTTCCAACACATGAATCATACCATCAAAATTCAATATGGCCACATGGATCTTCTAATCTCTCTTTCACTCATTCAGTCAAATTATTTTAGATTCATTCATGAGCCAAGTAGTGTTACAGTGTTCTCACTGCAATAAAGATTTCTAAGATCTCAAAGGGAATAAAAAGAAACAAAATATGTCTGCAGCTTATATCTGCTTTTGATATAACTCGAGGGTTTCAAACCTCTTATGTTACGTCGAAAATAAGAGATCGGTTTCTTAACCGATCAAAAGCTTGTTTTCATCCAAGAAGGTGTAGGTAGGTACCTCCAAATTGTATGGTGCTGGTCCTTTACGGATCCTACCGGAGATATCGTAATGGGAACCATGGCATGGACAGAACCACCCACCGTAATCGCCAGCATTTGGCAAGGGAATGCAACCAAGATGCGTGCAGACACCGACCACGATAAGCCACTCTGGATTTTTAACTCTCTCTTCGTCCTGCTGCGGGTCACGAAGAGATTCAATGTCCACACTATTTGCTAACTTAATATCGTCCTCAGTTCGGCGTCTGATGAATACTGGCTTTCCACGCCACTTAACTGTGACGGTAGAACCAGGCTCGATACTTGAAAGGTCAACCTCGAGTGAGGCCAGAGCAAGAACATCCTTACTGGCTGACATGCTAAGGACAAACTTGAGAACAAGGAGACGAATCAAAGAAGCATAGACAAACCGACCACCTGATAACACAAAATATGCAAATGCACGCTTGCTGGGGTCACCAGGAGGAAATCGCTCGTGATTGTATTCGTCGTAGACGATCTTTGAAGAAGGGTTCTTAATGGCAGCTACAGTTGCAGGAATATCCAAAATTAAGCCATCATCCTTAGTTGAGGTCAATGCATCAGAAGCAAAACCTAGCAGAGTCATTTCATAAAATCATGAAACCACGCCAGACAGGAAAAGAAACAGTCTTGCATAGAGTGTCGAATCACAAATTATAATCGAAAAGCTCATGCTCGGCCTTCAAACGATTTAAGTAATTGTTAAAGACAGATTCCAAATCAAAACCATATAGTAGCCTTTTCGATGTTTAATTTTAAGTATCCGACATAAAACCGAACTATAAAATGCCACTATATATAAAAAAGCAGGCCTCTAAACCATTTCCAGTGTAGATTTCTTACCAATATTTCTATCCTCGACTTTCAAACAAAGCTAGGGAGTAAAGCCCCACAATTAGTCATGATAAAACTTGATCTGAATTAGTTGTTTCATAAAGTAGTTTGATGCATTGCAGAGGCATAGAAGATCAATCCTCAAGATAACAAAAGCATTGTGTAATTGTTCTTGCTATGCCTAATTTCTAGAGCAAATTTTAAGGATTTTCAACGTGAGTTCGAATTTCAGGGCCAATGGAATTCGACTAAAGTGATCCAATCTTTTTTTTTTTTTAGCAGAAACTGTGAAGCTATTTCACAAAGGATTATCTTTAGTGTTGGCAGGTGTGCGCCTTTAGGGCGGGCTTCCCTTCCACCAAAAGGTATATCAAAAGACAAACCTCGGTTCGACATTGCAAGAAATAGTGTGTTTTTCTTCAAATTCAAAAACTTCAAGGCGAAAAAGAGCAAGGGCTCTGGAGAGACAAATGGGTAGCATCCATTCCCCGATCGCTTCCTTATATCTCAGAAAAACGGTTGAAGAGTACCGCAACTTGGAGAACAATGATTGGAATCTTGACTTCAGAAGAGATATAATGGATAGAGAAATTGAAAGTTGTATTGGGTTGATAGAATTGATTGTTACTATAAGGCTGGGAGATGGTATGGACAAAGCTTGCTGGTCCCTTGAGAAATCTGGGGTTTCTTCAACAAGATCAGATTTCATACAGTTGTCTGAAACATCCTACAAGCTCCAAATCCCAAACAAGGTAAAAGCCTTCCTTTAGAGTCTTGCTTACAAAAGCTTGAATACCCATGACAGAATACAAAGGAAGCTTGGAAATTGGAATCTATCGACATCCGCCCGCAGTTTGTGATTAAGGGGAGAAGAACATCCAGAGCACCTATTCCTCCTATGTCTGTGGTTGGGGTCGAATTGTAAGGCATTTTGGCCTGACTTTGTGCACTCCAGAGTCAGTTTTGGAGTAGCTTTTAGAAGCCTTGAGAGAAAAAGCTAGATTTATGAGGAGATGTGTGGCTCGATCTTTAGAGAAACCTAGTGTAACAACCCAACCCCACTGTTAGCAGATATTGTCTTCTTTAAGCTTTCCCTTTGGGGCTTCCCCTCAAAGAATGCTTCATTTTCCTCCCTAACCGATGTGGGATCTCACCATCCATCCCTCTTCAGGATCCAGGGACGCTGACACTCGTTCCCTTCTCCACTCGATGTGAGACCCCCCCAATCCATCCCCCTTTGGGGGCCAGCGTCCTTGCTGGCACATCGCCTCATGTCCACCCCCATCGGGGTTCAACCTCCTCGTTGGCATATCGCCCGGTGTCCTGCTCTGATACTATTTATAACAGCCCAAACCCACCGCTAGCAGATATTGTGCTCTTTGGGCTTTCCCTTTCGGGCTTCTCCTCAAGGTTTTTAAAATGCGTCTGCTAAGAAGAAATTTTCACACCCTTATAAAAAATACTTTGTTCTACTCCCTAATCAATATGGGATCTCACACCTAGAAAGAAAGAAACCAGAGGATCTCCAAAGAAAAGACCTACACTTCTGAAAGGATGCTGAAACAAACTAATTGAAAGACGTTACAATACTGAAAAAGAGAAATTCTTATGAATGGATGCTTCTGGAATTCCCTATAGCCTAGTTCATTTTTTCTTATGCTAGTTCTACATTATTTTATACATGTAACAGGATCAATAATCCCCCCGTACCTTCTTATCTGTTGCGTAGATTAATTGATCAAAAAAACATCTCTATTTCTCGTAGAATAATATAAAATACTGCTAGCAAATTATGTTGATGGTATATTCTAATTCAAGCAGTTGATCAAACTCATCCCAATAGTAACAAAAACACTCTACATGGGGAAGACAATGGCTTAAACTTTGTAGATAACAACCAGACTCTTTCAAAAACAATAAATTATATCCTACAAACAGCAGGAAAAAATTGGTAATGAAGATCCCATACTGATAATGGTGAGCTTTTACAGGAATCAATTCAAAAAACACTGCCAACGAAGAAGAAAGCGATTGTTTCGGTGAAGATGATATCGTTAAAATGCGCCGAGAATACCAAAAAACACAGTTCACATTTTGACATTATTTTCCAAACGAGAAACTAATAAGCAAAAGCATGATTCAATCATCAAAGAAATCAAACAGTGGATCATCAAAGATGAATATCGATCCACATCTACGATAATTGCAACACAAGCAAGTGAAGAAGCAGCAAATCAAATACTGAATAAGGATTGCCCTTTCAAAAAGCGAACAGGACATCGCATCGCGACAAAACAACCTAAAAAACGAAATGAATCGACCACGAGCAGGAAGAACAAAAAGAAATCCAGAAATAAAGAACCAAGTCCTAACCTCTACAACTGCGATCAAAGTGAGGTCCGGATGGGAAGGTGTTGAAGAATCCACCGGATCTGAAATCATTGGAATCACCGGAATCGACGATCTTATGAGAACCGGGCAAAGAAGAGGCAATAGTGGGCCTGAAATGCGAAGAAGAGAGTGAGGAGAACCTTCGAGCCGCAATCCTCAACATCTTCGTCCACCTTTTCGTTATGCAGAAATGAATTGAGAAGGAGGCTTGGATTTCGAAGGATAATGAGAATTCAGGAGGAGGCGAAGGAAGAAAAGAACCGGTCTTTTTCCCCCGATTCGCGGGAGTTGCATGAGCAATATATATTTGACCTCAACCTTGTTTAGCTTCCTTCAGCTATCATTATACTTCGATTTTTTTTTAGTAAAAGTAATTTCAAAATATTTATTTTACTCCAAATTAATAAAAATACTTTTTACTATTTATTTTATTTTAAAAATACTTAAAATTCCAATATTAACCTTAAAAAAAAGTGAATTAAACTTTAAATATATTTACCATATTTTTTTATAATTAAAAAACTTTAACTAATACTCTTAAAATTTCATAAATATTTTTGAATTAAGTTATTTTTTTTACAACATTTCCTTATCGCGCTCCTAACGATCCTAGTCGTTCTATATATATATCGGCAAAACGTGCAAGGACATTTCTCACCCGAATTTTGTCCCTATTTTCGACCATAATGTTAAGAAACCGAGCTTTCATGGTGAAATGAAATGAAATAAGTTCACTTATATGCTTGAACAAGTCTATTACAAAATCAAGATCTCACCTTATGGGTCCCAACACCAATTCAAGCAACTTATTCAGATTCATTCATGACCAAGATACAGCTACAAGTATTCTCATTACACAAATATTAACTCAAAGAAATTGCGTGGAAAAAAAGTATATATATATATATTTGCCAGCTTCGACATTATCTTTATCATTGATGAAGGTTCCAAACCACTACAGACCAGAAAAAGAGCTTGATTTCTTAACCAATCAAGAGCTTGTTCTCATCCAAGAAGGTGTAGGTAGGTACCTCCAAATTGTATGGTGCTGGTCCTTTACGGATCCTACCGGAGATATCGTAATGGGAACCATGGCATGGACAGAACCACCCACCATAATCGCCAGCGTTTGGCAAGGGAATGCAGCCAAGATGCGTGCAGACGCCGACCACGATAAGCCATTCTGGATCCTTAACTCTCTCACCATCCTGCTGTGGGTCACGAAGAGATCCAATGTCCACACTATTTGCTAACTTAATATCGTCCTCAGTTCGACGTCTGATGAATACTGGCTTTCCACGCCACTTAACTGTCACGGTAGCACCAGGCTCGATGCTTGAAAGGTCGACCTCAAGTGAAGCCAGAGCAAGAACATCCTTACTGGCTGACATGCTAAGGACGAACTTGAGAACAAGGAGACGAATCAAAGAAGCATAGACAAAGCGACCACCTGATAATACAAAATATGCAAATGCACGCTTGCTGGGGTCACCTGGAGGAAACCGCTCATGATTGTATTCGTCGTAGACTATCTTTGAAGTTGGGTTCTTAACGGCTGCTACAGTAGCAGGAACATCTGGAACTAAGTCGGTTTCCTTTGTTGAAGTCAATGCATCAGAAGCAAAACCTATCAAAGAGTTATTTCTATAAAATCATAAAACTTCACCGTAGGAGAAAGAAAGAATCATTCATAATAAAAGGGCTGAATTACACAATAAAAATTGAAAAGCAATCATCCAATCAATCACCTAGGACAGAATGGCCAACGTCTAAACCATTTAATGAGTACCAAATTATAACATGCCAGTACACCCCCACTTAAAGTTACAAACAAGAAAACAAGCAAGCCTCTAAACTGTTTCCAGAGTGCTAACAAATTTCAAGCCAATGTTTCAATCGACGACTTTCACAAAAAGTTCGGGATTAAAAGAAACTCCAATCAGTTGCACGCGTAAAGGTTATTTTCTACGACATTTGATTGTCAGAGATCTTAACAGTTGGAACTTAGAAGTAAATGTAGAAATGTGCAAAGAGGAGATACCAGAGATTCAGAATAAATGTACAAAACCAAAAAGTTGGGTCACAATGGCCCGTCAATTTTGCTGAAACGAATACGAAACAAATGATTGCCATATTTAACAATAGCGTGATTTGAGTAGTTTGAAAGATAGATGAGAAGGAAGCTATATATATTTGGGATTCAAAAAATCATTGATAGTATGAAATTACAAAAGATATCTTGAAAAATTCTCTTGATTCTTTCTTGCCAAAGGGTCCAGCAGTATGCACAAATATAATCCTTCAAGAGGGCCTTAGAATGTGCAAGTACTCACAAAATGGTTGATGGTTCCCTTTGGAGTCTATTTCGTAGTGCCATAGGATTGTAGCATTTAGCGAGCATACAGGCCTCATTGAGTTGAGTGCAACCTTTCAATTTGTGAGGTTTAAGGCACATTTAAGGACCTTTGGAAGCTAATTTGTTTGATTTTCTTTCTTCAAGTGCTTAAAATATACTACTAGGGAGAATTGTTGGTGGGAATTAGTCCCCTTTGCCTTTCTGTCCTCATCTCCATCACCCTTCATCCTTGAAATATGCCTCTATTGCTTTTCTGATGGGTTAGAACCACAAAATGGTCAAGGCTTTTTTTTTTTTTTTTTCTTTCTATCAGGTATAGCATGAGGAATTGAAACGATTAGCTTCATATAAAGCTCATTCTTTTCGGTTCGTTGTAGGACCTGGATGGTGAGTTTCTAACAGGTATTAATGCACTGAACTTTATCAGAACAGAAACTCTAAACTGAATGATTCTAACCTCCCATAGAGAAGAAGAAACACAATTCTCGCACTTAAACTTATACACTCGAAGTGGACACCAGAGCAACCACAATCGAACCACCAAAACCTTGTACCATTTGAAACATCAGTTCCTTAGAGAAGTACGAGTCTCAGCAGTATAGCATATATATAGAAGCATACAGTGAAAGAATTGGAAAACAAAGAGAAGGGGTTGCTTCAGCAATGGGATATCATCCTATTGCTGTAAATAACAATTCAATGGATCCAAAATGAAAAATGAATGTGCAATGCAAACACGATTGTAGAACAAGTTAAAGACTTGGAAAATAAACGGTGGAAGATTCAAACATGGACACTACGAGGGAGTCATTGCATCGGCCAAGTGATATGCCCCAAAAACACTATTTTCACAACGAGAAATGAATGAGCAAAACATGATTCAACATCATGAATGCTGACTAAATAGAGCAGATCAATAAAGACGATTATCGAACACCATCTACAGCTAAAAAACAAGTATCGCAAAACAAGCAAGTGACACAATACTGCAAGTCAGATATAAAATAAGGATTTGCCTTTCAAGCAACAAAAAAGGCAACACAGGTCCACAAAATCAAGCCCTAAAAAAACGTCATAAATCGACTAAAACCAGAAACGAGAAACAAACAAACTCCAACCTCTACAATTACGATCGAAGATGGGTCCAAATGGGAAGGTGTTGAAGGATCTGAAATCATTGGAAGAGGCGGAATCACCGCCATCGATGATCTTGTGAGAACCGGGCAAAGAAGAGGCAATAGTGGGCCTGAAATGGGAGGAAGAGAGTGAAGAGAACCTTCTCGCCGCAATCCGCAACATCCTGGTCAAGAAAAATCGTACACTTCCGCCGGAAAAAAAAAAAATGGAACAGAAAAAAACAGGGTTTCGAGGGAATTGGATGATCGGAACGGTGGCTACGAAACCGCCTTCTTTTTCCCCAATTTGCACCACAAATCTGACCCCGACTTGTTTGGCCTACACGGTGAGCCATTTTGATACGTGTCTGACGTTTGACATTTTTTGCCCCTCCAACTAAATCTCAAGACCCGTAAAAAAAATATATATATCATTTATGAAAACAAATAGTTTTTGTTTCAAAAATACTTTAAAATTTTTAAAATAAAAAGAACTTCAAAAACATATACACATTCCTCCTATGTTACAATAACAATTTTTTTTTTTTTTTTTATAAAAGTAAATAATTGTTAATGCCACTTTTAAAAATTTATGGTAAATAAATTTTGTAGATTTTTTTTTCGGTTAAATAAGTTTGGATTAAACTATATGAGTCTAACCGTTTTAAAATTCATAATTTTATCATGTACAGTTAAATAAGTCTCGTCCTTTCCAGTGGCTATTTGTTTTTTTTTGCAACTTTTTGACCTTGATTGTTTGTTTGGTAACTTATGTTGTTGCTGGAACTATGTGGTATGGTTCAACAATTACCTCGGTTGAATTATTTGTTATCAATGGGATTAGGGATACTTGGTAAATATCGGGCTAGCCAAAATTCAAAGTTTATCAAAAGCTTGTTCTAAAATTCCTGAAAGATTAGCTTTTTATGATTACATCGGGAATAATCCCGCAAAATGTTTTTTATGATTGCATTCCGAATAATAATCCCGCAAAATGTGGATTATTCAAAGCGGGTTCCGTGGCCAACAGGATGGAATAGCTGCTTGGGTGGTATGCCGACCTTTTTTAGGCAACTATACAAGTTTATTTTGCATAATAATCTTATGCAAAAACACCGAACTGTTCTTCATTTTGAGCCCTATTCTTGAAGAAAAGAGAGAGAAGGAAGAAATGAACTTGTCTGCAAATCATTACCCTGTTCCTGTAACTTATAGTTCTCCCATCCCCATTTCAGATCATGAGGGTCAAAGAAATGAAGATGTCTGCAAATCAAAAAAGGACAGATATGGAGAAGAAATGAATGGTGTGGAAGGTACAGAATTGTTCAAATGAAGTTAAAGCTAAAAGAGGACCTGTAGACCCTTAAAAGTGACCCTGAAAACCTACGAGCTATAAATTGATTAACGAAGAGTGACTCAGAGAGAACCATCACGATGGAAAAATGAGCTTTCTTAGGATAAAAATCAGTCCAAATGGCCTCATGTCAAGGCTGTCCCATTTCAAGAGAGATTTGGTGGTAAATATACCCCTTAGGTATCAAACTTAAAAAGGGTGTGAAAACCTCCCTAGCAAACACGTTTTAAAAACTTTGAGGGGAAGTCCAAAAGGGAAAGCCTAAAGAGAATAATATTTGCTAGCGGTAGATTTGAACGGTTACACGACCCTTGAATGGCTAGGCCTCCGTAGAGTGATTTCATCCCATCTTGTAAGATGCAGACCTGAATGACATGAGGCACCTTTCCAAAGAAAATTTATGTACAAGTAGGGAGGGAGGTTCAATAATGTAGCTTGTAAAAGAGTGAGACAACCTCCCTTAGAAATGTGTGTGTGACTCCAGCACGTCAGTCTCCTATCAATTTTCTCCACAATAGAGGTCAATATCAATAACAACGATTGACGTTTATCAAAGAAGGGAAGGGTCAAGATATACCTTTGGCCGTTGGCCTTGTTTACAACCAAAATTGCTAGCAATCAAGCTCATATTTTGTGATCGTTGATGTTCTAACCAATAGCCTTCTCCAAGAAGCTCACAAGGCCAAGAAGGTTGTTGATAGCCAAAGAGAACTCTTCCCAATTTCAATACCGTTAATAAATTATACTGAAATAATTAATGATAATAACAAAAAGGAAGAGTGAGGGAGAGTCACCTTGTTTAAGGCCTCTCCTGGTATGAATCATTCACCCAGGGCCGCCATGAAATTTAATTTTCTAATCTATGTTATCTTTTACAACTTAGGAACTCAAGTTCATAAATGTTAATGCGTTCAAACTACGTTGGATCCAATCGCTTGAACTTTAATACTTGATCCATATGATGTGAATTTCCATAATTTTCATCTGTTTTCTTAACACATAAACATCAACATAAATATTTTCTAACATCTTGGTTATGAACTACGTATAAAATTATCAGCACGGAACGTGATGATTTTGGATTTCAAAAGCAGCAATCTTCGGCGATGAACATGAAAAGTTGCCTGTGGTGTAAGAATAAAATATCTGTGGATATGTGCTAAATGATCGACACCAACATTAAGAGACGATCAAAAATTTCAATATTGTTATAAAAATAAACATCAAGAAACGCAGCTATTTGTTTTGATTTCCTTAAGTTGAGTTTTATATGTTTCAAGTACATCATACGAAAATTCAACAAAGAGGTCCAAAATTTAAGAAAAAGAAAACAGACAAATCTATCTATAATGCTAGAATGATGGCGGTAAAACACTGAAGAAAACCTGAGAACAGAAGCAACTGACCTACTTTTTAATGTAATCCTCAGGAACAACCTTCAATAGCTTCTTCTGCTTAGACTTGGCGATCTTCTTCAGTGTCTTGGGATTTGTAATCTTCTGTAGCTTAGTTCCAGATCTCAAAATGTTCTCCTTCTTCTTCTTCTCTCTCTCTTCCTTCTTCTTCCTTTTCTCCACCTTGTTTGACCTAATCTGCTCCTTCAATTCCTCCTTCCGTTCCCTGTAGGCGGCCTTAATCATCTTCTGCCTCTCCCTCTCCTCGAACGTGGTGCCTTTTCGGCTCACCAGCATAGCGGACGTCCGATGCTTCCGCGGCTGTTTCCACTTCCGTCCGGAGACCTTTCCCGCGATCACGCCGTCGTATGTCGGGTTTCCAAAGGTCGGTTTGTCAGGATTCTCCGATGAAGGAATCGCGGATCGCTTGAACGGTGGAAGCGACTCGTCGACGTCCATGGAGGCGTCGGCATTTTCAGAGCTGATGATGTTGAGACTGCTCTCAGCTTCTTCACGCTTTCGCTTGTAGGTCTTTCCCCCAAAGCCCTCGTCCAGGCGCCGAAAGTCGATGGTACACGCCATGGAGGAGATTGGGTATTAGGGTTTTGATGGTAAGATTAGGGTTTCAGAGCGTGACGCTGGTGAAAGAGAGAAGGATTTTAGCTTATTATTTTCTATTTATAGGTGCTCTGTTTGAAAATAATTGTGTATTTTTTCGCTATGAAAGAAAAATAAATTAATTTAAGTGTTAAAAACTTTTAATGATTAATTAGATAAACGCTAAAATTTGATTTTAAATTGCAATAATATATAAAAATTTAAACTAATATGTATGTTAATTTAAATTAAATAAAAAAAATTGTGAAATAGTTTTTATTTTTAAGTGAAAAAACAAATAATTGTGTATTTTTTAGATTTTTAAAATTTTTTAAAATTTAAGATACTTTTTTAAGATAAAATATAAATGTTAAAAGTATTTTTATTAATTTAGCGGCAACTAAATCATATAATAAAATTGTATATTCGTCTTTGTTAAAAGAATCTAAGATGCGGACCTTCGCATATTTTCTCTAGGTCCAAAAAACGACATGATGTTTATGTCCTTTTAAATTGCCCAGGTAATTCATACAAACTACAAAAATGTTACCGAGATCCATATCCACCTGACATTTTTATTTCGTGCCAGCATCCATATCTACCATTTATTTGATGGAAAGTCAAAACACTCGAGTTTTTAAATAGTCAAATTGAATCGAGTTATACTTGAGACTGATGATAGTATAAAGTCACCAATCTAATAATTGAATTATAGGTCATTTATGATAAAATTTACAAAAAAAAAAAAAAAAAAAAAAAA